AAGCCCAAGCCCTAAACTCTAAACCTCATGGTAGCCCCCCCCAAGCCCAAAAAACTGTTTGTAGCTACCCCCCAGCCCCAGAAACCTCAAGACCCTTTACTTGTGGAATATACCTTGAGCTAGAAGGGGCTTCCTGCCAGGCTCAAGGTGAGGAGTGTTGGGGGCTCTCTGGGCCTCCTTGAAACCCTAAAGCCTGATCCCTCCTAGCACATTTTCTGGATACCCTTTAAAAAGTATATAAGCCCTACAAGGCTGCCTCCCAAGAGACGAGGCAATCCGGCCATGCTCTTCGCCACGAAGCACTTCGAAGCCTTAAAGAAGGAGGGGGCGCTGGAGGCCCGGGCCCTTGAGGGGTTGGGGGCCTTTGGGCTTTCGGGTGGACCGTGGAGCTTATTCTTTTTCGTGTGTTTGCACGGTTTTTTTTGTGGCGTGAGTTTTGTGACACTTTTATGGTAGCCCTCCGCCATTCCGTAGCCCATGAAGTTGCCCATGTAGGGGGTTTGGGTTCATGTTGCATCCCTGTATCATTTTTTCTTCAGAGCCTTGTGCTACCATTCACCGCCATCGATCTGCTGTGACCCCGGCGGTGTTCAAGATTCAAAGATGGACTCTCGTGCATGTCTGTTGGCCTGGGTTTGGATATGGTTGTTGGCGGTTGAACGAGCAGCAGTCATGAATAACAGTATCAGTATCATCACTGGCGCGATCACTCAGGCACTGACGCGGTGACGTTCTTGAGGGATTAGGTGTGGCCTCCATAAGAAGCCTCGTTTGTGCAAGGTTGTATTCGCGCTAGTAAGCCTGCAGCCTACGCAATCCTAAACCCTGATTGCTTGAACCTCATACAATATCATACAGTAACTCTTACAAGTAAGCCGCAAGCCTTATAAAAATCCAAAGCACTGTAGCCCCTATAGTGCCCACTATAGTGGCCCACCCATACAGTAACCCTAATCGTACCCAATGAAGTTACCCGTTAGTTACCCACATTCTGCGACAGGTGCCCGACAGCGGATGGTGTTTTTACGACCCCATCCAGGACGCATGTGAAGGTTGAGCTTTCAGGGCTCGGGAGTTTGGGGGTTTCGGGGTTTCAGGACTTCGACAAAAGGAGAGACACTAAGAATCGAGATGGCTCAACTTCCGCAAAGAAACAGTAAACCCTAAACCCTAAACACACGAAAAGGGGCCATTGCACATTAAAAGCAACACACACAAAAGAACATCAGAGAAGTCTATCGGGTCCAAGATTGGAGCCGTGGAGATCGGAGGACAGAGTGCAAAACCCACGCATGAGCTCAGTCATGGGTTCAAAGAGGGCTTTTTAGAACGAGTTCTTGAAGGGCCTCGACCCTGAAGCTTAAACCCTTATCCCAAACCTTCAGCTCGAAACCCCAAACCCTAAACGGCATGTGGTAGAATCGGGGCTGCAGACTTAAAGCCTAGGGCAGTTTGGGCAGTATTGCGCTCCTGGCCATTCCACGAACCGTAAGAGTCTTAACATGGGGATCTTTGATCGTAAAGGCTTCGTTTGTGGTTAATTTCAAGGTGCTCTTGTACCAAGTTCAAGAAAGGTCATGTAGTGATTGGGATATCTTGACAAGACGAAAAGAGCCAACAATGAAACACAACTAGCATATGACCTCGGCGCCCGGGCAACAAGCGAAACACAAAACAAATAACAAACCCTGCCCGGCCAAAAACCTCTCCCCCGTCCCCATTGCCAGGATGTATTGGGTCATTGCTTATTTTTGGGGGTTTTCTGGTGTTCTGATTTCCAGAATTCACTGTGCCCGTCTGTTAACCTTAAACACTACACCATAAAACGCTAAAGCGCGAGACCCCAAACACCCAAGACATAAGGATCTAAGCTCTCGAATTCTTGCACTTGTGTCTTCTGTTGCGTGCAGCAGCCTTCGGAGGATTCCGCTCGCATGGGCATCGACACCGAGCTCATTCCGAACCCGCAGCGGCCGGACTTCACCAAGCGTTCGGTTTTCCTAGGATTCTATCGGGGTTCGGTTCTTTGAAGGGCACTGTAAGGCTCTGCAGGGCTGTAGGGGTTCCAGAAGGCTTCAGGAAGCTTGTGAAAACCGGGTTCAGGGCCTGTGTTGTTCTTTTTGGCCGCAGCGATTTCAAGGCTTTGCAGCTGGGTTTTCTGATAGGCTTCCAAGGATCTTCAGGAGCGGTTTCAGTGGGGCCCGCAAGGGGTTGTGCGATGTAGTATATCCAAGCAGGGTTTGGGGGGCTTGGAGTAGCTAATTTGTGCCCTAAGCCCGCTTTTTTCTGGGGCGCCGAACCCCTCTACACACCCTCGGATTGGCTGGGGTTGCAACTTAGGGTGATTATGCTTTTGGTTTCTCGCGGTTTTGGGTTGGGGTGAAGGCTTCCGACCCGGAAGATGCAGACCCGTTTACTACATCCCACTGGCAGGTCATAAAGAGGTAGTCTCCAAGAAGTGAATGTTGGGGTAAGTCGTACGGCAGCCGAAGTCTCCTCATCCTTAAAACCTTAACAGTTTTAAGACCTCTCCCCCAACCCCAAACCCTTATCGAACCCTTCCTAGATCATACCTTTGCAAAACCCCTACTCTAAACCCTAAACCCTCTATAGAAATCTTTTAGAAACCTCAGAAGTCCTTGAGCCCTTGCCAGACCAGCGAAGCCCTAGGTGCCCCTGGCGCGTCTCGGAGCTGAACCGCCACTACCGGCTCTGACACTGGGCCCAAGTTCATGGGGCCAAAGGTCCCACCAAGCCTTCTATGAAAGGTTCTATATGAAGGGTTCTATTACAGGCAACGCACATGTTGGATCAATGACTCTGTGAAGGGTTATATCAGGGTTCCAGGGTTTGGCTTTTCGAAATCTTCTCTTGAAGTTGTTGAAGCGTTGGAGTAGCAGAAATGGCAGCGGTGGCTACATGTATTGCGACAGCAATAACCCTAGACCCTACTTCCTAGGTCTTCAACCTTCAACCCTAACACTAAACCTCGAATCCTGTACCTTACATCCGCAACCTTGAAGCCTTGTGTGAATAGCAATCGTCCACATGCAAGTTCAGGTAGCTCCTATCCGTCAGTGCTGGTCCTGCCGCGGCGCATGCCTGATCAGGCACCTTGGCGAAATACCCCTTCAGGAATTCGTTATTCCGACTGCGGCTAATGGTTCTAAAGCCAATCAGAGTAAACGTAAGGGAGCCTAATAGAAGAACGAGCTCCGCACGGCTCCCTTTAGCAGCGGGAGCAGGATCAATGAATGCATGGTTACATGTCTGCTTCTCACTGGAAGAACGGAGTGGGTAGGGGAGACGCTAGAGCTTTACCCCTAAGCCCTAAACCCTAGGCAGTCTATGCGTGTCCTTCCCAGGCTGATCAGTAGCCCAAACACAGCCACCACAAGACGAAAGCCCAACGCCTCTAACCCTAAACCCCAGAACCCGTCAATGATCGCAGTACCATCTTCCAAGCTTGAGTAGCACAAACACACGTAACCTTCCGGACGCGCACGGCCCTGTCACCAAGCAACCCAAACACACAGCCACGCGCAGTCCGCGTAGCTACTGAACTATTGCTTTGATACTTACCGTTGCCTTTTGCGATCCAGACATGGGCACACATACGCATACACATACACAGAGTGATAGAGAGCGGGAGGGAGCGACTCGTGACCAGCTACATACGTATTTCACTCCCCTTGTCCAGAGAAAGTTCGGGTGGGCTTCATGTTCGGGGGACTTTACCGTCCCTCGTGCCCGGAAGAGAGAGAGAGAGAGA